AGTTTTAAGTTTTGTTAGTTAAAAATTCGAAAGTATTTTTTGATTATTTTTCGGGTTTTGTCCTTTTTTAGTGACTTCTTTTGCCTTTTTTGCGATTTCTAGTGTCTTTATCGTTATTTTATTTTGCCTTTTTTATGGGTAAAAATCCGTTCCCTGCTGATAACTCTCGTTAGAACTTAAATTCTCAAACCGGTCACAAGCTACATACATATACGTACATATACATATTTTATCTGTGTGTTTGTAATGAAATTGTTTCGAAAAACTGTAAGCGCGAAGCGGAAAAGTGTACCTATTTTAATAAAACTAAAATATGTATGTATGAAACATATTTATATATGCGCATATGTACGTATGTTGTTGCTGACGAAATAGCTTACTGCTGGCCTCTCTTGGTTTTACTAAATTGAAAAGTGAAGTAGTTGATTTTCAAGGAGCTTAAATAACCACTGGCATTGATTCGGTGCTGATAAGATAACAGAAAACGGGCTTAAGTAGATCAACAAATGCAAACAACAGTGTCAATCACACATTCATACACGTGTCACACATACATATGCATTTATATATACATATGTATAGGTATGCGTTTTCATACATTCCCTATAAAAAATCTATAAACATATATTTTTAATTAATTTGCACATCCCAATTTGCGAAACGACTTCGTATCGACGTCGTAGTTTCCGACAATGTACTGCTGAACAATTTGAAAACGTGAAAACGTTCTATGCGATCATCTACGATCAGAGGTTTTGGTATGACTACGGTGACCATGCGCCAACCTTGTGGTGTGCGGCTTGATGTTGTTACACAAATAGAGGGACATTTAATTCGATTTTAATATATAAATTGATTTATATGTAAGTGCCTTTGTATAAACATCTGGCTATAACGCCACATTTTCTTTTTAATGGAAAAATATATATAAAACAAATTCGAAAGGCGAAAAAATAAAATTTTCTTATTTTGAACTTGGATGGCAGAAAATTGTTCATTATGCTGCTAATCGTACTGCAGGTCACATTTTCATTAATTATGAAAGCATAAAAAAAATTTTCAAAAATACGATTTCGAAAGCCCGTAATTTTTATCGGAAAACTCGCTGCATTCAGAAAAATTCCTGACAAAACTAGTTAAACTCCAGTCATCAGTGTGTACGAGATCGTAAAAGATAAATATTTGAGTTCAGAAATATTTATATCTTTTCATGTGATATTTCTCATGAAACGTTCTCTACACAAAGTGCCTTATAAAGCTCTTAAATATTTTATAAACTCAGTTTATCTCGGTGGGTATATCGACACCTGAGTGGAAAGATCGTCTTATTCTCGGCAGCCAGTTCGAAAACGCCCTATCTATTTCCGAAATCTGTTCGCCCTACTTCAGAATTTGATTGAAGAACGCCCAATTTCAGCATTTTACTGAAAAACACTTAAAAGCAAAAGAACGTGCTTTCTCAGAATTCGGTTCAAAAACGGAAATGTGTTGAAAATGTGCTGAGATAGGGCGTTCATCAACCAAATTCTGAAGTCGGGCGTTGTTGAAAAGTTTTCGGAGATAGGGCGTTTTCGAACTGGCTGCCGAGATAGGTCGATCTTCCACTCAGGTGTCGATGTGTAGTTCAAGATTTTTTCCCCCCTTTGTACTGTGTAAAAATGTTAAAAATGCAGTGTAGAGAATTATAAACATACATATGTATGTATGTAGTTACAATCGCTTAATGTAGCGCTTAAGGGTTAGTAGTATTGGTATATAGGTATACGATGCTAAAAGCCGGCAACAGGATATGTCAGCGCATAAAGCAACTCGGCCAGGTTGCTGAGCTCATTGGCGCGTTAAAAGTGCCTGCAAATGCTAAAATGTGCTAACATACACACATTATTTAGGTGGATGATTGCTTGCCTTGTGTAAAATTTTCTTCGAGTTGTATGTAGCTTCCTTTCGTATGTTGCACGTTTTTGCGCGTTAAAATAAGAGCACAGGTGTGCAGAGTTTTTATGCCCATCGCTTTGCTGCTCGTCGTGGTTGTTTTTTGTGTCTTTTTTTTTGTATACAATTGTGTTTTGCCTTGCTACTATTTTGACTCCTTGTCAGCAATTCATGTATTTGGAATTACCATACTTTTTTCTTGTTTCTGTTATTAACCTGCCTTTGCATTATACGTTTTTTTAACTTTTTAAAGACTTTGTCTGTACACATTTAAATACCTATGCATTTACGTACATACATATGTGTGTGTGCCCGTGCCTTTTAAATATGGTGTAGAATAGTACTAGTAAAGATGTCATTTGCCGGACACGATTAAGATTGGGGGTAGTTGCACCGTCAGCATGCAGTGCACTCGCGACAACGTGAACTAATTACGAAAATGTTCATGTTTGCGTTATACGATGTTTCCACGCTTCGTAATTCGCTCTCTAAGTAATTCGCAAAGTAATTCGTGAATTAGCCTGTTTCCACGTCACACATTAGTAATTCGTTTGGCAGCTCTAGTTCTTGTTCTTGTTCTGCGCTATTTATTATTCTTTTTGTGTACTGCAAATATCGAAGATGGAGCTAAAATTTAAGTTATCATCAACAATTTTAATTTATATAGAGAATATTTTATTAATATTATTCTATAACTAGAAAAAGTGCCAGTAATTGGGACCAGGCCGGTGAAAACTTCGATATATTTCCGATAAATAGTAGAGAAGGCACCGATTCGTTCGTCATTCGCATGGTAATTCGATCTGAATTACCTACAAATGAGGTAATTCGCTCTCAACGTTTTGTATGGCGAATTACGTAATTCGGAAGGTAATTGGCAAGGCGAATGACGATTGGGAGAGCGAATTACGAATAAGAGAGCGAATTATGAATGGTGGAAATGCCGTATTAGTTCGCGTGAGCGATGGATACTGAATATGATGAAATGACGAACTGTGAGAGCTTTTTAACGAGATGTACATATATACATTTGTATGTAGTTATAGACCAGTATGCAGCGCTCTAGAAAAGCACAAACTCCATATAAAATGACGCACAAGAAATGGCTAAGAAATTTTCTTGAGTCAAATTTCCTTAAGGCAATGCGCAGTTCTTAAGAAATTTGCTACGCTTTCTACTACGATTTTCTAGACTTTTTTGTGCAAAAAGAGCACAAAGCAACCCATATTTGCAACAGAAATATAGGTGTAACCGTTCCCATATTTCTTGGGGAAAGATAGAGGCCACAGTGAAGTATCAGATGTCAAAACTCCTTGGACACACTCACGAAATAATGGCAATTTTTTCTTGATCGTTTTCTTGAGAGCTGCCTACTGGCCATAAACTAAGGCGAATTTATACAAGGTGGTGTTACTGGAAAAAAATTGAGTTGACCCTTTTTCGAACAAAATTTAGTATGTAGTGCTAACTTGACACCATGCACCATTGACGACAGAATTGAGATATTGAAAAGGTTACAACGGAATTAAGTGTAGATTTTTTGTTGTAAATTTGTTGTGGAAAGAAAAAATTTGTGGCTCTCGTTTTTTAAGAAAAAACAGTACGTAGTGCCAACTTGACACCATACACCTAGTCGATAGAATTCAGATATCCAAGATGTTACTATGCCATTAATTGTAGCTTATAGCTTTGAAATTTGTTGTGAAAAGAAAAAAATTGTAGTTTTCTTTTCGCAACAAATTTACAACAAAAAAGCGTAACCTTTTCCATATCTCGATTCTATCGACTAGGTGTATGGTGTCAAGTTGGCACTACGTACTGTTTTTTTTTTTTAATGACAGCTACACATTTTTTTTTGTTCCACAACAAATTTACAACAAAAAAGCGTAACCTTTTCCATATCTCGATTCTATCGACTAGGTGTATGGTGTCAAGTTGGCACTACGTACTGTTTTTTTTTTTTAATGACAGCTACACATTTTTTTTTGTTCCACAACAAATTTACAGCAAAAACACTACAATTAATGCCGTAGTTAACTTTTCCAATTTCGATAAGTGTAGTGCTAACTTGACACACGTATAAATTCGAGCTAACTTTCACAAACCAAGCTGAGGTTTTACTGTTTGATAGGTCAACTTTCGGAAAAGACCAAATACCTTCGGTTGCCTTTATATTGACACACAGTATTTTTATAACTTCAAACTATATACATAAACACTATATACATATATAAATATTATTATAATACATTGACGTCTCTTATTTAAATATCAAAATATGCTAAAAGGGTTACATCGTATTAACGAAAGATTCTATTCCTCTTCCAATTTCAGATAAATCGCCGCGCCAGCTATTTCCGAGAAAATAATCAAAAGCAACTAAATTTAATTTAATCCTTGATTCTAATTTAATTTATATTCTACATAACTAAGCAACTACGCAAAACACCCAAACCAAAAATCAAAAATCTACGAAAGTTAAAATGTAAAATAACTTACTATAAATTAAAATTGTTCATGTTCGAATAAGTGAAAATTTTTGAAATTTTCAAGCTTCATTAATGAAAATTTAACAATAATTATATTGCTAAAAAATAATTTTAAGTAAAATTAGCATAACGTATTAAAAGCAATTAAGCAAAGCAAACAAACCGGTGGAAGACAAAATTGTTTTAATAATTTTAAGCAATTACAACTATACAGTAAAATTAGCGAAAACAATTTAATTAATTAATCACATACAACTTAATTAGCAGCATACATACATATAAATACAAAGAAATAACGAAAAATTGCAAGGCGAACAAATCTTCAGCGCAGTTGAATTTATATATATTTTTTAAATAATCCCCAAAAAAAAGCTACAAAACAACAAGCAAGTTAAACCAAAAAGTACAAAAATTCACAACAAATTTCACAACGCAATAGCTGCATTTCAACAAATACATACATGCAAACATACTTACGTACATAGCAAAATAAAAGTTAATTAAATAAATCCAACAAATTGTTAGTAGTAAAATTTAACGAAAACAAATTTACAAAATTTTGAAAAGTCTGAAAAATAACCAAATAATTACAAATAAATATCTTAGATATACTCGTATTACAAAAAATAACAACGTTTTTTTTTTTAACTTAAACCTCACCTTAAGCTATTTGAAATAAAGAAGCAACTAAAAAAAAAAAATCGAATAAATATATGTAATACCACATAGTGAAAGGAAAGCAAAAGTCTAGTGAGAATATCAAAACAAAAACACAAATATTAAAACAACAAATACCAATACAAATTTTAAATAGCCAATGCAGTTTACCGTAAGCATATTCAACAAAAAATAATAATTAATAGTTAAATAGCAAAACAAAAAATAAAAATACAAATATACAAGCATACCAATCACTTCAATAACAAATGCAGTTAAAAAAGTCGGTTTAAGCTACAACAACAAATCAACCAATAACCCATAGAAAATATCTTACAAATCTTCAAAGTACAAAGAGCGCATAAATTTTTGCAAATATTGCATTATACAGAATTACAACAACAAAATTTCGAATTTTCGCACTTAAAATTATCACACAAACAATATAGCAATATAATCGAAATATCAAAAAAAAAAATATCAAGTAAACAATAAAAAAAAATGTAAACAGTTTTAGCAAATAAGTAACTTTATAAACTATTTAGAAACAGTTGTGCTTTTAACAATGAAATACGAAAAACAACTCGTTTGAACACAGCGAGTAGTTAGCGCTTAAAGCCCCAGCATTAACAATTTATAGTATCAATAAAAGTTAATAGTTTAAATATAAAACCGCACACAGACACATCAACAAATAAATATGCTACCCAACCAGTGAGCAAAAGTTCAAATTGTTTAGAGAAAATAAAAAAAAAAAAACGACGCGTAGTTCAAAACAGTTTACAACAACAAACAAACATAAAAAAGAATAAACTACCTCAAATCGAAATTTCAAGTGTACAAACGCAAAACAAAAGCCACAACAAATAACAAATTAATATTTAACAAAAAAAAAACACAAAAAACTTCCCTAAGCAATTTCAAAACACACTAATTAATCGAACAGTTTTGAAAAATTTTACAAAAAAACCAAAGCACAAAAACCAGTGTACAAAAGTTCAAACCAATTATAAAAGAAAAACACAAAATTATCAATAAAATTATACACAAATTTTGAAATATATTAAAGATTTGCGTCTTGCCAACAACTCACAACCGGAAGGGCTAGTGGCGCGTAAATCATTGCGCGTTCCGGCTAAAGCGCGCACTCACGCTGCCAGGCTCTGTCGCTCGCGCGATCTCTCCCGGTAAATACGTACAGTAGACACTCGTTTGCCAAGAACAAACGCAGCGCTGAACTCATTTGCTCTCACTATTATCGCGTGGCCGCTTTCCGCAGCAAATCCGGCTCCCGCCATGCCGAAAGGGGGGCTTAAATGGCGTCTTCAATAATTGCGCAGACCAGCGGCGGCACAGTAGAAACGTCAGCAGCACCAGCAACACGAACTGCGGCAGCGGTATCGACCAGCCATTTGGGTCATTTCAGTCACGGACTGCAGCCACACTACGCGCACACATATTTGCCACACCAGCAGCTGCCACACGCACTTCAACACCAGCAACAGCACCAGGTGCAGCAGCAGCAGTTTTTCTATCATCAACAGCAACAGCAACAGCAGCAGCAGCAGCAGCTTGTTGCCGAACAACAACACCACTGGGATTATTATGCACGCCAACAGCAATTGCAACAGTCACAATCAAGTCAACAGCAACAACTACCAGCATCACAACAACAATCACAGCAACAGCCACCTCCTCAGCCTCCGCCTGCTCGGCCCACTCCTCAACAGCATCTGTCCACCACCACCTCAACCTCCAATGCCACCACCAGCAGCAGCAACCACAACAGTAACAGCAATAATGATCAGCAGCAGCAGCAGCAGCAACAACAACAACAACAGCAACAGCAGCACTCAGCTGTAAGTTCTCAATCTAACGGCAACGCCAACAGCGGCAGCAGCAGCAATAGCAGCGCCGCCAACTCCAATAGCAACAATAACTATACGCGTCCTTGGGAAATGGATACCAAGGACCATCACAGCCACAGCAGTACATTGAAGAGTGCAGGTCTCGGCAATGGAGGCGGCAACGGTCCCGGTAATGGCAGAGAACATCTTGGAGGAGCCGGCGGCTTCGAGCCCTTCTCCAAGCTGCCCTCTTTCCAAAGTCAATTTCATGGCTACAACGACCCGCTCATGTCCGATGGCATTGCGGCCATGGCTTCGTCGGTGCTACCGCCGTCGATGTCCTCACTCCAGACGGTTGCCATGTCACCAGCAAGCATTTCAGTCAGTTCGCCAGGTATGGTAAGTGTGGGTTCACCATTGACGCAACTATCTGGCTTGCAGGCGAGCATTACACCTCCTTCATCTGCCACAGCCGCGTCGTCGTTTGCCCCACTTGGTGCACCTCCGCCTCCGCCGCCAAATACATTTCATCATTTGGGCGCAGTAAACACGCATGGACATCACCGAAGCAGTGCCTCCTATGCACCGCTAATGCCCACTAATACCGGTGCTATGGGCAGCTATGGTTCAAGTGGCGCCCTGGACGACGGACGTCATCATCTGCCTTTATACCAGGCACTTACGCCCACTTATGCTACCCCGCCGACACCAAGTGCACTCGCGCCTATCTCGTCGCAACATACACTCGGTGGATTGGGAGGAATCGGTGCGTTTAGCGGTGTTGGTAAGAAAGATAACACTCAGACATATGATCTCAATAACGGCAACGGTGGTCTCACACTAAGCGCAGCGACTATCAATACAGCTAATACCAATGTTACACCGATGGGGATGCACACACCAACCACGCCTTCATATGTAGATGGTAGTGGCGGTGTTACTATGATGGATACATCAAATGGAGCTTCTGGATATCACACGCCACACTCCACACATGCTGGTAGTTCCAGCGGTGCTGGTGCTGGCGCTAGTGGGCCACATACACCACATACTCCGCATACGACGCAACCGCATACTCCTACTCCCTCCACCACCACGCAAATCAAGGTCGAAAAGGTACTGAATTCTCCTATTGCGCGGGTGGATGCGAGAAAAAAGGAACGACGGAAAAATCGGGCGAATTCGCTCGAGTCCAGCGCCGAGTCTGAGGCAAGTGCTATGGATGTTGATCCCAGCAATCCCGGACAAGTGGATGCGGTCTCGAGCACGGCCAATTTCAAAAGTCCACTGAGCGCGCTGGGAATGGGCGATAGTAACGACACCAACAGCGACAAACAGGTAAGCAATGAGCTGTGAATTGAGAAAGCGCCATAGCATTGATCGAAGAACACGAGTTGCTTATCGCCTAATTTTAGACTTCTGTCTTTCAGTCGAAGAAAAAACGCAAAAGGTGCGGCGAATGCATCGGCTGTCAACGTAAGGACAATTGCGGCGAGTGCGCTCCTTGTCGCAATGACAAAAGTCACCAAATTTGTAAGCAGCGACGTTGCGAGAAGCTCACTGAGAAGAAGGTAAGTCAAGGTTTTATATTGCTATTTACCTTAGGATAGGGTAGTGAAAACTTAATTTATTTTTCCTCTTTTTGAATTCAGTATAAAACGGTACATATGTAAATTAAACAAAATAGATAATAATAACACATTTTTAGAAAAAATGTTAACATCGGTTGAGCGGACTTTTGCGCCACTAATATATTTTTTCAAATGCGTGTTGTTACTTTATAATTCCGTTGCTACGCTGTTGATTAGTATGGTATATGTATGTATATTAGGGTGGGGCAAAAAAAAATAAAGTCGAAATTTTAAAACCCTCATTCCCTAGGATTGTTCTAAATTGAAAAAATTATTCCCCTGTTTTTTCATATTTTGAAATCAAAAAATTTTTACAGGTCGCTCAAAGCGCTCAAAGTTTTCCGCGCATGTATATATTTAAATGGGAAAACAGTTCTTTAGAATCAATATTTTTCGATCGGAAAACTCTGCTTCGCTTTAGGAGACTTCCAATAACAATACCCAGTTGTTCATTTAACTATTTTCTATTTTATTACCTATTTTTTAGGACCCCCAAAAACCTCAAGATATGCAATGGAGGGGCCCATAAAAAAAATCGCTGGTGTTAAAAAAAGGTATACGAAGCAAAGTGTTCCCATCGAAAAATTTGAATTTCAAGAATTCTATACCATTTCTTCGAAAACTTGTTTTTTTTCCCATATAAAATGCATGAAAAGCTTCGAGTGCTTTGAGGGACCTCTAAATATTTTTTTATTTCAAAATAAAAAAAAACAGGGGTATAGTTTTTTTGGTGTAGAATAAATCCAGGGTGTGCGAGCAATAAAATCCCGATTTTACTTTTTCTCATGCAAATACTTAAACTAAATCCATGGCGTATTTCGCGGTTTTATGTCAACGTTACTATTGGAGCATCTACTCTACTCTGCTGGCAGAATGAATGAAAACACAGTTAAAGTGAAAGCGCTTGCGAATGTTTCCGACTTCCACATATTTCGGATCATGACAACAGTTAAATCAGGGAAGTTTTTCGGGGAGGGGCCACAACTTTCTGAATATTTGTATCATTGTTATCAAAAAGGTTTCTTCAATCGTGTATATACCAATCTAGTGATAACGCGAATGCAAAAATTCCATGTACATGCTTAAGTCAGATGTTAGCTAGCCACGCTTTCACACTGGGCTTAATCCATATTGATAACTGCAGGAAGTGCCAAATGAAAAATAAATCGGTGGAACACATAGTGATAAATCTAAGGCGTAACTGCTTTAGGGGGGAGTTTCAGTCAAAACTATAGCAGAAAAAAACGGTTTGCACAGTATCTTAAAATGTGTTATTTATTCTTAGTATATGTACTATGNGTTGAACACGAAAAAAATACCCATGGTTTCAAAGAAGTGTTTTCGAGATTTGTTCGAAAAACGTATTTTTAGTACTTTTTCAGTTATTCCTCAATATCTCATGCAACGACCAACAGTTCGAAAGGTATTGATGGGCTCTTTGCAAAAATATATATTTTTTGTGCAGATTGTGTTCCGTAACATCTACATTTCTCATCAGATTTTCATTTACTGTAAAAAGATAATGATTGAAATTTCAATTTTTCGATTTTGATCGCTTGTAACACTAATAATTTTCATCGAAATCGGCAAAGTAATATATTTTTGTAAGAGGACTGTAGGTCGTTTATGTTGATTGGATAATTTTATCATGAGATATTGACGAATAAGTTCGAAATGTACCAAATACACGTTTTTCGAAAAAATTACGAAAACGCTTGTTTGAAAGGAAAATTGGCTTGGAAAACATTTTTTTCTTAAGCGATTACACAAAATTTGTAGAACAGTGTTATCGATACATTTGACGCTGGTCTTCAATTTCTCGTCATCCATTGTCCATAACCGTACAATATTTAGAACGCACTGACTAGTTGAACCTTCAAAACCAGCTTACCCTTATGTAGTTACCAATTAGTTATCGACACTGCTTTTATTTCGATTAGGAAAAGTTATTTTGGAAAAAATCAGTACGTTTTGGGGGTTTTCTGTTTTGAAAAACTACGCAGGACAGACCTTTAAATAACAGTACGGTCCTACAAAAAACAGAACGGATGGTCACCGTAACTATGGTCCACTTACTCATCATGAAAGGTCGTTTAATCTGGTCATACAATGGACTAGTAATTCGTCTATTTAGAGCTTTCACAAAACCAGCCAGTCTTACCAGGCCTAACCTACCAGGCTTGCTGTGGTAAGTCGATACCAAAATTTATGGTTCCATGAAGAGGGAACCGGAAAAAGAATGTGACTACTATCGCAGACATAGTTTGACAAATCCTATGGGAAGCCCCCTAACACAGCTCTTTTTATACATACATACATATGTAGTTTGCATATTTCCCATGAAATGATGAGAAAAGATAAATGAATGATTCTGAGCGATTGAGTTAAAAATTGATCGGATTAAAAATTGCAGACTCGAGGAAAACGGCTTCAAAAATTATAGTTCGCATTCGCTGCCGCGGTAAAAATGAAGATACATTTTCTTCTAATGAGTCCTTGTTAGAGTAGAGTAGAAATCTTACAAGCTGGCAGCACTGTATCCAAATTACTATACTATATTATCCCAAATTATGTCAAATGAATGGCTAACTTTACTGTGTACAAGTACTCCAGTACATAAAAGGGACCATAAATAACAGTTACTTTTTTTCAAGTGTTAAACTTGGCCAGATATTTTTAAGTAGAAAATAAAAGTCTGTTCCTAATAATAAACAACCGCTTGTCCAAATTAAACAAGTTTGGTATCAACTGAAAGAGGACTAAAATAGCTTTAATACTAATATGTTTAAACGAGGAAAACCAGCGGAAAGCCAGCTATTGAAAAATATTTCAATAAAAAATGGTTTTTAATTACCATAGAACAAACTTTGGGTCAGGTATATGCATTTCTTTTGTATTAAATTTTAAAAATAAATATGAATAGAAGTGGTAGCCTTCGTTCGTTATTTCTGTGTAAAAGCTATTTAAGTCCTCTTTCATTCAGTACCAAATTGTTTTAATTTGGATAAGCGGTTGGTTTACTATCCGGAAAGACTTTCATTACGTACTTAAAAAATATCTGGCCAAGTTTAACTGTTAAAAAAAATAACTTCTATTTACGGTCTCTGGTAAAAAATATCCAACGGAAAAATTCCGGCAAAGTGTCATCTGTTCTCTCATAAGAGAAGAAGAGCTGATCTAATTTTTGTTTACATTCAAAAGCGTAAAATTTAAAACGTACACAGTTTATTGATTAAACGAATAACTACTTCTACTACTTCTTACAAGTTTCCAAACCATCAAATTCCATTTTGTGATTTGCGTAAATTCCTACCAGCTGTTTTTGATCAGGTGTTTTCGTGTTGGCAAATTGCTGTTCGCCAAATTTTTTGTGTGGATGCGTGTGTGTGTGCAACCTTTTGTAAGGGAGTGTCAAAAGTCTAATGTCACTAGTGAGAAAACCTTTAATTATTGAATCATGCAAGTATAGTACCTACTTTAAAACTATTGAAACTTCAAATTGAGTGCCATCATTTCTGAATACCAGTAAATATAAATAAAATTCTGTACTTTTAGATATCTATTCGACACTTAATACTGAGTACTTTGAATACCGGTAAATGTAAATAAAACTCAGTACTCTTAGGTATCTATCGATCCTTTTGAGAATCGAGTTCTGAGTACTTTGGGTATCGATATTGCCCAACACTAAACATAAAAAAAAAAAATTATTATGACACTATTGCGGCAAAGATACAATATACATTTGTACATACATACTATATATAGAACACAAATAAAAGCGATACCTTTATGAAACTGCCAAATATATATGTATGTACATACTTGGATGCACTTACCTTATGTATTTATGCAGATAAGTATATATGTATGTATGTATTTAAATGATGAACCACTCTGTAATGATAATAACAAAAACAAAACAAAAAATTATTACAAAAACAAAAAAAAACGAAATTGACAACAAAGCAAGTAATACAGGAAAGCCGAAACGGCAAAAGGAAAATAAATAAAATGCCACAAGAACTACGAGGCAAATCAACGAGCAGATGTTCAGAAGTTGCAAACAAACACACCGCATGCATGTATACAGATACATATACATATGTACATTTGTACATACATATATAGATACATCCATACCAGAGGTATACAAATCGTTCAATGGCGGCTGCAATACAGAAAGGACACATCCCAGCAAAAACTTTGCTTCCTTTGCTAAGTGCTTCCTGTTGTTTCAATCAAATAGCGCATTATTTAAATAGAAGTAGCTCCGAGATGCCTATTCGTTTACCTTACCGATTACCTGTGAGCAATTGATACTTTATTTTTTCGGTTTTCTTAGACCCTAAAACTAATAAACAACTGTTTTCGTTTATTTAATATGTAATTCTCTGCAACTGCTAAAATATTTCAAAAAAGTCGTTATTGGTAACATTAATGTCATTTTTATACATACGTACGTATAAAATTGAATGCAAAATATAACCATAGAATTTAGTTAAGCCACAGTTAACAGCAAAAGTCTGCATACAACATCTCTTTTTTAAAAATTTACAATATATTGAGAGTTAAAATTTGTTTGTTAATATTTTATAAAAAAAATGATCATGCTTAAAACAAAACCATATAAACCGTGTTTTGAAACAAAGTAAAATTTAACGGTTTTTCATATACATTTTTTACCTTTTAATCAGATTTAAAAACGATGGTAAACAATTTCACTTTGAAACGAGGGTGCTATTGATATGACCGATACTGTACATACCTAAATGTATCACTGAGCAGCACTGTGTAGTTATGCAGTGATTTTTTTAAATTTCCAATGTTTTTCGTTTTAAATATTTGTCGTTAAGTTTTTATTTAAATACTATGTCCCATTTTCCATAAACCATTTGAACTCAGTTTCCTAACTGTGAGGCAAACTTGATAGAACTCTA